TCTTTCTCAAAATAAATAAATCAAAAATATTTAGTATGTCAAATGTACATGTAATAGAATATTATTCATAAAAAAAGAATGAAACCTTGCCATCTGTGACATTATGGATAGACCCTTAAGGTATTAAGTGAAATAAGTCAGAGAAAGACAAATATCATATGATCTCATCTATGTGCAGAATCTAAAAACAAAAACAAAAGAACACTAAGTTAAATGATACAGAGAACAGATTGGTGGTTGCCAGAGGAGGTAGATTGAAGGGATAGCTAAAATGGGTGAAAGGGGTCAAAAGGTACAAAATTCTAGTTATATAATAAGTAAGTCAGGGGAATGTAATGTATAACATGGTGAGTATACTTAATAATACTTTTCCATATTTTAAAGTTGCTAAGAAAGTAAATCTTTTTTTAGGATTTTAAAGTAATCTCTACACCCAACATGGGGCTCAAATTTACAACCATGAGATCAAGAGTCACCCTCCACCAACTGAGCCAGCTAATTGTCCCTTAGAGAGTAAATTTTAAGAGTACTCAGCACAGGGACGCCTGGGTAGCTCAGCAGTTGAGTGTCTGCCTTTGGCCCAGGGTATGATCCTGGAGTCCCAGGACTGAGTCTCACGTCGGGCTCCCTGCATGGAGCCTGCTTCTCTCTCTGCCTGTGCGTGTGCGTGTGTGTGTTTGTGTGTGTGTGTGTGTCTCATGAAAAAATAAATAAAATCTTTAAGAAAAAGAGTCCTCAAGACAAAAAAAAAAAATTTCATAACTATGTATGGGGATAGAGGTTTACTAGATGTAATGAGATTACTTACCAACATACACAAATATCAAATCATTATGTTGTATACCTGACACTAATATGTCAATTATACCTCAATTTTAAAGAAAGGAAGAAAAAATTAGATGAGAAGAAATACCAGATGGAGCAAAGAATAAAATATGGGAGCAGAAGCACCCTTAAGAGCGCACATTCTCTTTCTCTCTCTTTCAGATGTTTTAACCCCATAGCCCAAAGGAAACAGTCATTTAAAAATCTTCAATATGAAAAAAAATCTTCAATATGTCTTTATAGCTTAGCATAAGTGGATGCTGGCATGGGCTGGATTGTGTCCCCCCAAAATTCATATGTTCAGCCCTAACCACTAATATCTCAGAATTTAGTGGTATTTGGAGACAAGATCTTTAAAAAGTGGCAATTAAGTAGGGTCATTAGCATAGGTCCTAATCCAGTATGACTCGCGTTCTTTTAAGAGGAGATTGGGATACAGACAGGTAGAGAGGGTAAAGGATGTGAAGATACAAGAAAAGAGTCATCTACAGGCCACAGAAGGCCTGAAAACAAACGTATGGACACCTTGATCTCAGACTCCTAGGCTCCACAATAGTGAGAAAATAAATTTCTGTTGTGTGAGCCACCCAATCTGTGGCATTTTGTAATACAGGTAATTTAGAGATTCTAAATGAAATCTAATTTGGCAGAACTCTCCACTGCGATTTGGTACTTAAACTTTGTTACTGCCTAGTACCTTCTGTTCATTAGTGACGCTACGGAAGAGCTGGGTTCTTGTCTCAGGGAGTGGAAGAATGAATCGCACTGACAGCAGAGAGCAAGCAAAGCAATAGAAGTTTATTACTTGAGAAAGCTCTCAAAAGTGAGAGGGGTCCCCACAGGGTTGCCACTGACGGCTTGTAGGGACTGTCTTTTATAGGAAACTGACCAGGGAACTTGGTAAATTTCTTATCAACATCAGGATGGACTCATAAATATGTGTATATTTAGAACAAACATGGTGGACTTATAATAAACAAGATGTTTATAAAACTCATGTTTATTACAATAAGGTGTTCCCATCTCTCTGGTTAGTATCTCCTCCATAACAATTCTATACATCTGGGATTTCTGTGATTACTTAGTAGCCATTAAAGGGGGAATCCTCCCTAACATTTTGGAGCTAGAGAGCCAGGTTTATTATTTGTTTTTCCTGCCTTATCTCTGTTTTCGTGGGGTGGGTAGGAGCCTGACTCTGGGGCCTTTCCCTTATCTTTCCCTGCCTCACCCCCTCTGCCCCTAATTCGTTCATACCTCAGTGAGATAAAGCAAGATGAGGTAAGAAAAACATGGGGTGAGAGGTGAGCCTCAGAAACGTTAGTTCTTTCGAATTAAATTTCCAAAAAACTTGTCTTTCCAACCCTAACCACAAAAGCAATGTTTGCGCTAATTAAATTCTTTCCCCCAGAAATATACGTAGGGATTTTGTGAAGAGCCTGTAGATCTCTGCTGGGGCGCTTTAACCATTTTTTCGTGACAGCAACTGTGGCAACGCATCTTCCCAAATGCGTCCACTACTAAGTAAAAACGTCGCTTGGAGCCTCCCTTTTGCTTCATACCAGAGGACAACAACACAGGGAACTCAGGAAAAAAAGGTAATGGCAATTAATAAGCACATATCTAGGACCACCAGTATTCCTAAACATTTTTAACTTTACAAGGGGTAGTTATTTCTTTAATTGCTGCTCCCTCAAAGAATGTACAGCAGGGAGGTAAGAGCCAGGCGCCCGCTTTCAAGTCAAGGGAGCCCAGCTGCGCCCAGAGGCGCTGCGGGTCAGTCTGCAACACGGGAAACGAGGAGCGGGGATCCCGGGCGGCCCAGAGGTCCAGCGCCCGCCCTCAGCCCATCGGGCTCCTGCATGGAGCCTGCTTCTAACTCTGCCTCTCTCTGTGTCTTTCGTGAATGAATGAATGAATGAATGAATGAATGAATGAAATCTTTAAAAAAAGAAATGCGGAGGGGCACACGGCAATGGGTTTCCCATACGTTCTTCAGGCTAATGTCCTTTCCTTTTATAAACTTGTGTTTCGGTGAGGCTTTCAGTAATGAGTGTAAAGACTCCTAAGAGATTCAACCAGAAAAAAAAAAAAAAAAGAACAAAAACGAAAAATGAAAAACAAACCAAAAAAAAAAAAAAAAAAAACCACAACTGATTCCAGATCAGGGATACCTGCGCTTCAGGACCGGCGATTCCAGCGCAACACGGAAGACCACGACAGTTCATTAATAGACCAAAAAAATCAGCGGGTTCCATATATATTGACCTACCTAAAGTTTTAGAGGCGGAGAACTACGTAACTGGGTGTTCCGGTAACTATAGCAACGTCAAAAGTAACTACCCTAAACAGGAAACAAAAACTTTTCACCTTCCCGCCCGGTCAGCCGGACAGCTCCAACGGCGGGATTTCCTGGTCTCGCGAGAGCCTTCTCACTCCTCCCGTTTGCGCGTGCGCCAGGCTGGTGAGCGGGCCAGTCCCCAGGATGGGCGGGGGGAGGCGGTGCAAACTCCGAGAGGTGGGAGGGGCCATGCGGAAGGGGTGGAACCGCGGAGGGGCTGGGAGGGGCGGAGCAGAGGGGCAAATCGCGTGGGCCCCGCCCCTCGCGGCGCTTCCCCGGAAAAGCGTCATCCGCTCTATAAGAGAGCGTGCGCCCGCGGCCTCGGCCTTTTTACGTCCGGGAAGCGTCGGGCTCCGCGTGAGTGGCTAAACTATGCCACCGTGTGTCGTGCGCTGAGGTGATAACGGAGGCCGAACTTTGGCTTAGTTAAAATGCAGGAGTTTCAAGAGTCCTGTAATGGTAGGGCCGCGTCACCTTTGGAAACCTCTAAAGTTGGAAAACCTGAGGGGACGCAGGGGTTTCTTAGGTCGCGAGGCGGCCACGTGCAGCCCTGGGTGCCGGGGCCTGGGCCCTCGGGCAAAGGTTCGTGGCACGTACCTACTCCGGCGGAGGTCGTGAATTCCGCCGTCGGTGTCCGGTGGCCATCTTGAATCTCGCCGCAGCCGGCCTGGTAACCTTGCGGCCCGGTACTACCCCCATTCGGATCAAGAAGGTGAGTAGTGGCCGTAGTTGTGCTTGCTCGTCCGGTGTGGGATTGTGAACCTCCATGTATCTTTGGGACCTGTCAGCTGTGGCAGTCTCCCTTCCTAGCCATGGAAGAGCATATTCTTGTTTATTGGCAAAGCTGTCACCATTTAATTGGTATCAGATTCTGACTTGCACAAGTAACATTCTTCACTTGGGAAACGTAGAGGCTGCTGGGTTACGGGACACGCATCTAACTATTGTTCAAATGTTCCTAGGAGGCTGAGCTGATCCGATGGATGGTAGAAAACGTGACAAGGTACGTGCGCCCTTTTTTCTATTGATTTTAAAGATTTTATTCATTTACTTAACGACCCAGACAGGGAGAAGCAGGCTCCACGCAGGGAGCCCGACATGGGACTCGATCCCGGGTTCCCAGGATCAGGCCCTGGGCCGAAGGCGGCGCTAAACCGCTGAGCCACCTGGGCTGCCCCGTGAGTCCTTTTTAAATTAATGTTTCGTTGTTAGCCTGAAACCCTTAGTGCTAAGGAATTGGAAGGCCAGGTTAGCCCATTTCGCTGTGACTTTAATTTGAAAGCGTAAATTGCCAACGAAAGCAAGTAATCAGTGGTTGCTAACTCTCAACCCTGTGATGTAAGTACACGGAGTTTGATAAAGCTGGTTTTGTCTTGCAGATAATCCAAGGTGATAATCCTCCAGTTCAAGGTGAGGTCAGTAAAGTCCTGTTGACTTCAGAGTTCCTGTGGTGTACTGTCAATCGTGAATTTAAATCACAACAGCTTGGATATCCAGTGGCGAATAATGTTTTGGAAACCATCAGGGTGGTTTTCAATATAGGCCTGAATATTATAGTGTAAGTATGGCATTTAAGTAGAGGATAAGTGGGCGCTTCTCTGCTTGCTACAATTAAATAAAATGCTTGATTCATCTGGAGAATCCTGTTCTCCGACTAAATGATATGGAAGTGGAAAGGTAGCTACAAATAGCAACAGACTACCTTTTCTGCCAAGAGCTGGTTTGGAAGTAGTAGGAGTATTGTAAGGTAGTACAGTATTTGGAGGGAAACAAACCCAGGTACCCCTGAGAGACAGCACAATCACTTTATACCACACAAAAGATTAAGGCTACTATACAAGGTGAACAGCTATGCACTTTTATTTGTACAGATGTGCACTGAACACTTGTGTTTTTTAAAAGTCACACTTAGTATTTAACAAGAAAAAGCTATTAATAAAGGCATATATTCTGAACCAAGCATTCAAGTTTTAGTGATCTGTCTTTAAACTGTCCTGACCTGGTCTATTAAAATTTCAATATAAATTTGCTTGCATCTACACTATAGTTTAATATATGGCCTGTGCGAAGTTTCATTAACAATAAAATGTCTCCTGCACATTGTCTCAAGCCTTTGTGCAGGTGTGCACTGTGTACCTCTTGATGTAAATACTTGAAAAGTTTTTACTTTATCAAACTTAAATAAAAGTTTTTAATGTTATTCTACCTGACATAGCATTGCAGTTCTGCAAAGTAGTAAACTATAAAGCACCTTTCTGTTAGCACCAGTTTTTTACAGAGCTGAAGATTTACAAAAAGGATAGAAGTAGACATAGGGAAACTAGTAAAAGTTCACACTGATCTCTTCACCTGTTTTTATGCATCTGCTTCTTGAATATACACAAACTATCTAAGGGCTCTAGGTATTAGCAATCGTTGTCTGTTGGTGATTACTTACGTAGCCTGAGGGGCACGCCTTTTATGTTTGGGCAAAGATTTTGCATTGTTAGGAAGAATGTCTTGAAAGGGTACATAGAAGGCAGCTGTCCAGTACTGTGTTGGGAAATAGCTAGAGAGAAAACTTGGTTTTCAAACTGCAGTAGAGGGGGAAAACTGTCAACACTGGGGCTCCCATTCTGAAGTTTGGATCCCACTGTCTCACCAGTCCTCTGAGTCTATTTGAAAGCTAGGGATACTATAAAATCTTACCAGCCTCTCAAGTTTGTCAGTGAGGTGCATGGCCACTTACACAGTGCCTAGCACATAGCTGGTATATGAATTAAGTACATTGAAACAAATGAGTTTACCCGCTATACAAGCAGAGAGCATTTTTTTAACTGCATTTTTATTAGCTGGTACTATCAGGATAATGGAAATCTACAGGTCTGAGTCATTATAGGAAAGTTGCAATAGATGGCACTATATTCATGGTCCAGCAAATGGCATGATGCCAAGGAAAAATTTTATCAAGATGTAAATTAGAAGTAGCTGAAAGTAACTGCTAGAGGATGTTAACAAATAAAGTGGATAAATTAGGTTGTATATCCCAAAACTTGGAAGGCATTCTTTGCTATCTGGTATTTTTCCAAATTTTGCTAGGTAATTTGCTAGGTATGTGTTGCCATAGTGCATGGTACAGAGGGTTCATTCAGGAATGTATTGTGACTGATCCTATTCCAGTCTAGGTTTATAATGGATTCCTTCACCTTTTTGGCTCTTGATTTCCTCACTTGTCAAAGGTTGACAAAGATTCAATGTATAAAGATCTCTTAGCCTTTTGAAGAAAATCTAAGTCTAATAATTCCACAGTATCACTCTTAAGTATAACAGAGTATTGATTCAATTATAAGCTCTTGATCCAGATGAATAAAAACAGCCATATTGCACAATTGATATACAGTAATCCCTGGAGAGTGCTGAGAATGAAGACCTTTGTCTTCAGAGTAGTTTTTGGGTAGACAACCATGCTAATTTAAGGATAATTAGTACTACACTGAGGTATCTAATAATGTTCACAATCACAAATTCTCAAGCAGCAAATGATGCGCATGATTTAATCACAACACAAAAGAAGAAACATGGCTCTCATCCCCAAAAGTTGGCATCTATGGCTGAGTGCTAATGTGGAGTTTGAAAATTTTCCTGCATTTTCAGGTTTCCATGAGAATTACAATTTGGTGACACTTTTTATCCAGGGTACAAAAGCTGAGACTTTGGTATAGACACCAGGTGAATCCTTGACTCCACAGCCATATCCCCACGAGGTAACTCCATATACAACCCAGCTTTCTCCTGATCGAGCACACATGAGTGGTCCTCCGCTGTCTCCTTGGCAGCTGTCAACACGTTTGTGTTCATGTAGATTTCCAGCACAAAGCATCCTTCTTGTAAACCGACTCTTATAACGTTCTTCACAAAACCTCTTTGGAAGTAAAGGAATGGCTGCTTGTTGTAGAGTTCTAGAATAGGCTTGTCCTGGTCAAGACCAAATAATCTGAATTAAATTCCACTAAAGATAAAGACCTTAGAGAAAATATTTAAACAGTTAAGTGAACACTTAATAGTCTTGAAAATAAAACCCTTATGATAGAATGTAGTTTGAGTGATGACTAAATGGTATAAGAGGACAGTGGCAAGAACTATTCTAAATAGAAGTATAGGAGTTGGGAAACAAAAATCTTCCTATGTACCAAACAAGCCTGTTTGGCCATTAGAGGGGAGTGTACTCTGGCAAGCCACCCAGTGGCTAAAATGTATAATTAATAATGTTCTCTTATATTTTCTCAGTTGGAATAATTCATAATAAAATGTTCTCTGTAAAGATAGTGGTCTTTGTCATTTCTGTTAACTCCTTGTCTGAACCTTGAATTGTAATGATAGAGTTAATAAGCCTTCTCAAAGATGATTTGCCTCATTAGATCCACATAGAGTACAGAGAAGGCATTTACACTAATCTGATTATTGTGTCATCCAGGAAATGTTTTCTTTATGGATTATCTCAGAATTGGTCGTTACATGCTTTCTAAGTATTCTATATTTGCAACAGATGCTGCCTTTTGCAGCTATGAAATGACCAGTATGAACCAATATTTAATGCAGTTTATGGTAAAGTGCATACTGAAACGTTTACTAAATAAAACACTGAAATTATCACCTGTAGAAATACTTGAGGCTCTTTTTAAGAGCACAGTGATTAGTGTTGGTCATTTTTAATGCAAAGTGGTCAACAGCCATATGTGAATTAAAGCGCCCAATTCAGGTGAGCCTTCTATCTGTTCCAAAGACCATCCTGAACAACACTAGCTGACAGACACTGGCTTAATTCTGTAGCAAGACTGACCATACAGAAAACTGCCTGAGAAAAGTAGAAGATAAACACTTTGCTCTAGCTTGGGGATTGGGAAGGTGGCATGAAGGACAAAAAGTGGGTTTGGCTCTCTGCTTCAAACAAAGCTTTGCTTTTTGTGTTCTGTATTTAGGGATTCTCCCTAAGATGGAGTCAGATAATGGCCTTCATTACAGAAAAAGGCCATCAAACACCGAAGCTCTTGCTGGTGTAGCTGTATTAGAGTCCTCTGGGAAAAATAAATGCAGCCAGCCAGGCCCAATTTGAAGAAGAAAATCCAGACCCTGTTGGAATAAGGTCTTAAAAATCCCTTCCTCTTTTAGTCTGGGGAACTAAAAGTACAGGATTCCCTACCCCTTAAGGCAATTGAGTTATGTGAAATTGTGCTAAACAATGGTAACCAACAGTATCCCTCAAGATATGAATCCAAAATCCACGCATGTATTACACGGGCAGTTTCCAATTAACTAAGCCTGAACCCATTTAAGATTTTACTACCCATTTTACACCCTAAAGTATTGATTCCAGACATAGGTGCCCATATTTCATTTGTTCTCTGTTACTATCTACATTACCTGTGTCTCCCCATCCTGTTATGTAACAATTGGAGGCGGTTTTCTGTGGCCTCTCTCTCCGGAATGGCAAACAGGCTGGCAAGACGTGGCTGCTAAATTGGGCACATTGCTCATCTGGTCCTTCTAATCTAACCAGGGCAATGTCGTAGTCACTGCTGTCAGGTCGATACTCCCGATGAATCACAATCTGCTGAACTCCAATTTCTTCTTCAAATTCATCTGGCACCAGAGTATGATAATCCCCAACCCGAACAGCATAGCTCCTTGTGCTGTTACCATACCTAAGAGTCAGAGAGTTAGTAAGAGGCTGCAAATGGACCTGTCGGGAGGGAAGGTTAATAGACGCTCAAGCCTTTCTTCCTAATCCTCCGTTTCTGTAAGTTTACCCTTTCAGAGTTCTCTGACCTCACCACCCTCAGTCCTATACTTGAAACCCATTTCATCATTTCACAGTTTAATTCAGGTTCCTGTATAATTGTTTTCTGAGAAGGAGCAAATGTGAAGGACGAATGGAAAATACAGCTAATCATTAACCTGTTATTTCCCCACCATGAAAAAGAATCCAAACAGGAACAAATATAGAGCAAATTTACTGTCTTGTATTTGTTGTCTTCATTTTTCTATCATTTCCAAGATGTTATAGTTCATCACGATGCTCTTTGAGGGCAATAACCATGGCTGGTCTAACTTTGTATCCCTCAAAGCACTTAGCACAACCCACTTTACTCCTCTGCTGTGAACTGCATGGAAATCAAAATTCTATTTTCAGAGCAACATATATTCATTATATTGTCTCATCTCTTGAATCTATCCAGACATCATCCCACTGAGACCTGGTTTAAATTGCAATGAAAAAACTAGTGGGGCCAAAGACATGTCTAATGGCTTTGAAGAAGTGTAGAGCCATAAAACTAAGGACAGGAGGTGGAGAGCCTCTCTCACAACAAGGATTTATCTGGTTCTAAATGTCAATAGTGCTGAGGTTGGGAAACTGCTTTAGGCGGTGCACCAGAATCAAGGTATATCAGTTGAAAAAACGAGCTAAGGACTATTAATTTTGTAAATACTGTTTCTACTTTAATTGAATAGTTTAAGGAAAAAAGACATACACATTAAAAATATCCATTCATTCATTCGTTCACTAAATAAACATGCTGCATTCCTACCTAATGGGGCATTACTATTTTAGGTGTTAAAGATGCATTAGTGAACATAAAGAATCCCTGTTCTTGAATGCATCTTGTTTAAGCGAGGGAGACAGAACTATAAACTTATTAATAAATTGGATAGTCTGTTAGAAAGTGGTGTTAACAGAGATTAAGGATATTGGGAGTGCTGGGGGACAGGAGGACAGAGTTGAGTTTGAAATTTGCAGTTTCAAATCAGGAACTTCGTGATAAACTAATATCTTGGAAATGATAGAACAATGAAGACCGCAAATAGAAGTAAAATTGCATGATTTACTATTGCCCATGATTGCCTGTTTAAATACAACCTCCCATTTCCTCTTGTAAAATTACTGGATGTTCTAAGTTTCTCAAACACTCTACTAACTCTATATGGGGCTTGCAGTGTATAAAGTAATTTTCTTAACTATGTCAGCTCAAAAAACTGAACAATGCAACAAAGATGATATAGCTTATTTAGCCACCTATCGTTGATCTATATTACTAGTAATTTCCCTTAATTTCCTGATTCTCCATTTCCAACCTTAAGTCATCACAGATCTTTAAAATTCAGAAGGTTTTTTTTATACATTGTTCCCAGAGAATATCCTCTTGTGGATTTCACTTCAATATTTAAGTAAAGTGTGGCATTATTTCACATCCTGAAACAGTAACAAGTAATACTCATAGAGAAAAATCAGATCTAAATATTTCTTACTTCCACTTTTTATGTACTGATACTATATTATAAAAATTCAGTATGCCCAATTAATATATTCAGGCTTTAAAGTAAAACCTCAATAAATCACTTCAAGTGATTTAATACCTTTGTGAAAAAAGAATCAATGCCAAGGGATGCCTGGGTGGCCCAGTCAATTAAGCATCTGACTCTTGGTTTCAGCTTAGGTCATGATCTCAGAGCTATGATACTGAGCCCTGGAGTGGGGCTCTGCACTCAAGGTGGAGTATGCTTGAGATTCTCTCTCCCTCCCCATACCTCTCCCACTTTGTGCTCTCTTCTCTCTTGCTCTTTAAAATAAATAAATCTTTAAAAAAAAAAAAGATGAATTGCCAGTGCTCCTTGAAAGTCCTGCTGAATTGTTTCATGTATCTTTAGCATGGAGTTGAAGAAATTATCTCTAGCTTCACTGTCTGATACGGTAGCCAGTACCCACATATGGATGTTGGAGTACTTGAAATGTAGTTAGTCTGAACTGAAATGTGCTAAAAGTATAAAATATGCAATGGATTTTGAATACTTACTATGAAAAAGAATACTAAACATACTGTCTTTATAGAGAATAAGTATTAAATATCCCAATTTTTATATTTTGCAATGATATTTTGGATATACCAAGTTAAATAAAATATAATTAAAATTAATTCGACCTGTTGGGTTTTTTAAAAAAATTTAAATATTTGAGAGAAAGAATGCACAAGCAAGGGGAGGGTCAAAGGGAGAGAGAGAATCTCGACCAGATTCCCCACTGAGAGTGGAGCCCAATGCGGGACTCAGTCTCACAACCCTAAGATCATAACCTGAGCCAAAACCTGAGCCATAACATAAGCCATAACCTGAGTCAGATGCTCAACCGACTGAGCTACCCAGGTAACCCTTACCTATTTATCTTTTAATGTGCTTACTAGAAAATTTAGTCATATTTGTGGTTCACATTGTATTTCTGCTAGATAGCACTGGTCTAGAGACATAGTTTGGCATAAACTAGGCATCCTATTTTATTATATTTCTTTAATGCAGTCTCTTACATTGCTTATATTTTTTAAGACTGAATTATGAGACATTCCCTTAGTATGTGAACTTTCTGTATCCTTTCAGATAATTACATTACTGTTCACTGAAAAAAAAGGTCACTGCACAATATTTTCCACGCTTTGAAAGAGAACTGTGATACTCTGTTAAAATAATCCTTGTATCTAAACTAGCCATATAAATATATTCTACATTATCTGAAAACTGGTCTTCAGCCAGTAAACAAAGAAACAAGACATTACTGCAACAAGGAAATTTTGTTCTAAAATATCCCAGTGTTAAAGTCTTGGGCAATACTGCCTCAATGTGTCACCTCATACCTGGACTTCTGCAAGTCTGTCCAATAGCCTTGCTGCTTCAAGTTTTAACTTTTCAGTTCCTTCATCACACTGCAGCCAGAATGAGGTTTCTATCTGACAATATATAACTAACTCTTTTGTATACCCTTCAAGGGGTCTCAATTATCTACTCAATAAAGTTCAAATTCCTTAAATGCAAATTCATCCAAGAATGGGCCTTGTTCACCTGATACCAGCCTGATCTCCATGTCCCTATCATTTTAGCTACTCGAAGAGGTGTCTCATACACCTGTCTCTATTAAAACTATTTGCAGTATTATCCCCCTTCCTATCCTAGTATGGTAAAAACTGATTTTATCACTCAAGTTTCAAGTCAAAAACCTCCTAGGAAGCTCTTCCTGCCCTGCCTGAAAACTGGCCAATCCTGTCTTTGTTTTTTTTGTTTTGTTTTGTTTTTAAAGATTTTTATTTATCCATGAGAGACCCCCCCCACACACACACACACACACACAGAGAGAGAGAGAGAGAGAGAGAGAAGCAGAGACACAAGCAGGCTCCATGCAGGGAGTCTGATGTGGACCTCGATCCAGGGTCTCCAGGATCACACCCTGGGCCAAAGGCGGTGCTAAACCGCCAAGCCACCTGGGCTGCCCCCAATCCTGTCTTTGAACAATCCCAATAGCACCGTCATAGCATTTATAACAGTTTCTAAGACTAAGTTAAAAGATAAGGTCCTCCCAGTTAAAGGCTCCTTAAGTGTAAGGACCATGCCACGCTCACTTTTGTATCCTAGCAGTAGGCAAAGTGCTTGGCATAGAGCAGTCTTAATCAATGTGTGTTAAACAACTTCTTTTCAAAGACATCCACATCTACATACAAACATTGTCATCCCTAACTTGTTGAAATCAGCCTCAGCTTCTCACCAGCTCTTATAACACCATCACTAAAGTTTCTAATACTTTTTTTTTTTTTTTTGAGAGCAAGAGAAAGCATACACACACACTCAGGGAAGAAGGGCAGAGGGAGAGAGAGAAAGAGAATCTTAAGCAGATGATGTGCTGAAAGCAGAGCCCATCGCAGGGCTCAATATCACGACTCCGAGTTCATGACCTAAGCTGAAATCAAGAGTAGGACACTCAACAAACTGAGCCACCTAGGCACCCCTCTATTACATTTTAAATTACCCAAATATCTAGTGTTCTTGTTAATGCTGGGTACTTACCAGAGTCACTTATACCACTTTTAAAAATATAAATTTCCAGGTCACACAATCTCTAAGAGTATTAAATTAATAGGGCTGATGATGTAGGACAGCAGTAGGTGATTCAAATTCACAGTCAAGCTTGAGAACCACTACACCAAAGACTGAAAGGCACAGTGATTAACACCTGCCCCTGCATGCCTGGAATCTCACCAGGTGAAGTGAGCATCATAAGAGATTACATAAAGGTATCAAAACGCAAAACCCATACACATTTAATACATATACTGTGTTCTCAAATCAAGTAGATTTCAGCCAACAGTTTTGAGTATACTGCAAAAGTAGTATGCTCACCAGTCAGGAGTTGATATTAAACTGAAAACAAAAATAAAATATTTACCTGAGAAGAAGAGAAAAAGCATCATTCTTGTCAAAATGAATCTATCAGTATCTATATTTTTAAAGTTGTCCCTTTTTAAAGAAATGGATCAGCTAAACCTAAGTGTGATTCCCACACTCCTTTCATTTCAATTATTCTTAGAAATAATCACACGCTTGGAATTTGAAAAGCATCCAACACAAGACCAGATTAGTTTGCTAACCAAATATTTGTCTTCTGTCACCTCTCATAGTGGGTGTGATTATATACTTCAAAGATAACACTTTGGCTGAGGTTCCCAATGTAATTATGGACCTTGAAAATATTTAATACAGTTCTAGACTTCTCAAGAAAACATATCAAGGAACCCTTTTTTTTTCAACATAAAAACTCTAGTTGAGCTTCTGTTCTTTTGACAGGCTTTATTATATCCAAAAATGCTTCTAAAACAAACATTTTAGGTTT